CCTATTTTTGTTTTCAACTTCTCTGTGATAATTAGTTCCTTTTAATATAGTTAAAACTTAATTATATGTTAAGGTTTTAGATAAGTAAACAAAATCATTTTATTATTTGAACAAATTTAAGGAGCATTCAACTTAGGTCATTTGTAGGTTTTATAATCTTCATCTTTATTTTTAATACTGGATTCTGTAGTTCATGGTTGACTCTTCTTTTTTTTTCATTTTCTTCTAGTTGATTGTTGACCTTGATCCTTCTATTTATGACAGGCTGTTCAGAATTTGTAAAAGATCACCTGCAGGAAAAATTAATAATAGATGGTAGTAATCGACACTTGTAAGGGTGGATGCTCAGATTCCATGTTACCATAGATGAGTTGAGCAGCCATATAAATTTATTTCATAAACTAAATAATAAATAAATACCATTCTGAGAGAGAAATGTGAATGCATTTGGGTAATCCATGGGCAAAAGGAGATGGCAAGATTTATTTATCCCAAGTGATGTAAGAACCTAGTATGAGAGAACTTAACATATCATAACTTTCATCTGGGTATTCTCTTTTAATGATGCATTCATTTTCACAGTTAAGAAAAAGGTATGTCAGATGATTCTGAGGGCTGATAAAAGTCAAAGCCTCCGAAAATGATTTAATGGAGACTTGAAGGATTTATCTATCATAACAAGGAAATGAATTCACCCAGGGAGGCTGGGCAGGTAATTGTGCGTCAGGGAGAAAATCTATGATAGGCAACAACTGAGTTTACCTGAATAGATATGTATTGAAAGAGATCCATTTTTTCTTAACAATCTGTAGTTCATTTTAGGTGATGAAGTACAGGTCAGGACCTACTTTCTTTACGAGGTTTTCTTTTGTCAGCTTAAGTTTTCCCAACCCATTTGCCCATGCCTGTAGAGCTATATTTTTCCAGACTGTTGAGAGAGAGTTCCAGCAGACCTCTAGAAAATTTTCTAGTGGAAATACTTAAAACCATTCTACATTGTGTTATTATTGATTCTGTTTTGTGCCAAGAAACAAATACTTACGTGATAACCCAATTGCCTTTCAAGCATCTTGTCTTGCCAAATGTTCACTGTCTTTATAGATACTTGCCTTAGGGAGTTGCATGTCATGTTTTTGGAGCCAGTCAAGTATAAATGAGGTGAGTAATTGTTGGCTGCTATCATTGCGGGTGACAATTAGAGCAACTTTCAATCTATCAGATGTGTTGAGAACTTTGTTAGATTCCTCCTTGGACTGGATTGTGGACGGAAGGAGAGAAATAAGTGGCTAAATGGTCCCTACAGTTATGAGGAGTAGCTATTTTAATTTTACCACCTGTGTCCCTTCCTGGGAAAATACGATTCAACCACTATTATTCAGATACCAGTCTTCCAATTTGAATATTGTAATGTACGTCATTTGGGTTGGCCCTTGAAGAAACCTTAGAAATAATAATGGTAGGAAAAGGGGGCAACTGAACTTCTGTCAAATGTTTTTCAGCAGGAGCATATCACTGGTGTACTTACCTCAGTTGTCCATGTCAACTAAGTCCATGTTGTTACATATAATTCTCTACATGGTGTGAGATCTGTCTTCCTGAAAGTATCCTAAGAAACTTTGATATCCTAAGGCTTCCAATTTTGGTTATTACAGAATAACCAAAGAAAGGTTCAGAAGAAAGATCGGTTGGAATCTACTGGAGGAGGACCTTCTTTGGGATGGCCCAAGCTATATGAAGTTCCCTTCCATTTGAAACTTGGATATTCGAAAATAAATATTTCAGAAGTACTATGATGCTCATGGGAACCAATTTGCCCATAAACTCTTCTCTTTTAAAAAAGAGTTTTGAATTAAAAAAAACAATGGGAAGCTAGCATCAAGAGCTTCAGGCTTTATCTTTAGACCCAAGAATATCCCAAGACCTCCTGTGGATGGATGACTGGTTATGTATCTGCAACCCCACGTTTTGCTTTAAAATGTAGTCAGTATTCAGAAGAAGGTTAGCAAGGTAGCAAGGGTGCACCCTCAAAGCTAAAGAAGCTGGCAGAAAATAGCCAGTGGTGGCAGTGGTGGGATTCAATTTTTTTTACTACTGGTTCTGTGGGCGTGTCTTGGTGGGCGTGGCAGGGGAAGGATACTGTAAAATCTCCAGTCAGAGGTGGTATTTGCCGGTTCTCCGAACTACTTAAAATTTCCACTAGCAGTTCTCCAGAACTGGTCAGAACTTGCTGAATACCACCTCTGAATGGTGGTGTTTTTTTTCTGAATGAGTTCCATCCAAAGCTGTTTTGTGAAAATACAATCCTCTTGTTTACTGAGAGCATCACAACTATTCTGAAAATTCTACATGTGTGAGTTGTCAGATGCAAATCAAGCCTAAGATGTTGAGATGGCTATATTAAGAAACTTAATTTCTTCTTTCCTCTACTTCTCCCAATGTAAAACGTAGCTCTTTTGAATTCTGCTGTATAGTGCAGTGTTGGTGTGGTGTTGGGGGTTTCCGGTTCAATGTGTGAAGGGTGAAGGATGTGTGTTTGTGTTTATTTTCATGGTCATGTTCATAATGTGCACGGAAGATGGTGTTTGATTTCATTGTACGAGGTGCAATGACAATAAAGTAAACTTAACTAGACTAAAACCCGAGATTAGAAATTCAGTAGACATTTAATCTTTCCTCATTCTTGCACATGGTGTTAGATCCAGACCGTCTTATAGAGTGTGGACCTGCAATCACAAATAACATGTCCCATTGATTTTGGTTGGTTTTTTCCAAGTATGAATGATCCTAGATCTAATCCATCAAGTTTAGAACTTCTTTACAGGAGATTGTTCTCCCTTGTTTAACATCTGTACTTCTTTCTTATAATTATTTATCTACTTTTGACCTGTTGTTTTATATATACATATATTATAATTAAAACTACAATCTGGATAGTGAATGGAGGCAGCAGAATAAAAGTCAAAGAAGAAAAGCACAAGGTTCAAAGTTCTGTAAATAGAAGTGGAATAAGTGTGGCAGAAGAAAGTAAAGATATTACAATAGAATCAGTAAGACATAAAGTTAATAGATAGAAAATGTGATGAAGCAAGAGGGTTTTACTCTTGTGAAAGACTCTCATGGGTGAAGATTGTCTGTCTACATGGCCTTAGGTATCTTGGAGCCAGATTTTAAAAGTACTAATGATTTAGGCACAATTTAAAAGATTATAAGCTTCAGTTGTCGAAATGTTCACGGGAATGAGGATTTCAGTTTCAATAAATAATTGTTACATTTCCCCCATTTTGAAGAACTAGTTGTTATGTTAATAGAGATAGAAAAGTATGTCTGTCAAAGACAGAACATTCTGCAATAAGCATCTTAATTGAGGTGAAAGATTTAACTTGGATGGCCAATTAGAGATCTTTGGTGGTATGATATTTTGAAGTTCAAGATTTGAGAAGTGTGGCCTTCTAACAAGAGGCTGACCCTCTATTGTAGAATTAGCTGCCTTTTTTTTTTTTTTGCAGCATCAGAGCAAGATCAGTGAATACTATTCAACAATGGCAGGAGACCACTGGTATATTTTAGCAGTATCTCACATTCACTCACTCATTCAGAGCATGCATACCATCCAATTAAACTCTCCTTGATGGCCAAGATATAGTAGGATGTGAAAAATCCCCTCGGAACATTCTCAGAAGTGATTTTTGATGGACTAGAAGATGGGACTTCAAATTTCTCTTCTCTCCAGCTTTTTAATAGGCAATGGTGGCTTTTCTTGGCTGAATTATTTGTATTTCAACACCATTCATACAGTGGTCATAGTCATTTGATAAGTAGTCTGGTTAGATCTTAAGATGTTGCTTGCCATGACTGTACTATGACAGAAGGTAAAATGTTAAAAACATTTTGATATATTTGGAGATATTCTTGTACAATTCTTATTTTTATAATTTCAGATCTTTTTTCTAGTGATCACAGGTTTTCAATTTTTGGCATCTGGCCACTAACTTATCCTATAAAAGCTTGCTCCCTGTCCATATTTTATGTTGTCCTGACATCAGAATAGGAGGCAGAACAGATTATTCTAAATCATAGATTGTTTTACCATAGTTTGCTAAAAAAACCCACGAATAAACCAAGGTTCACATAATGTTCTAAGCCAGTTTCCAAAGCACCGTGAGTACGGTACAGTAATGCCAAAATGAAGATAGCTTTATTCGGACTAGGTTGTGAAATGAAATATAACATGCCCGTAGCTAAATATTAGACCCTTCTGCAATCTGATGGGTATGGCATTGTAGTCAAGACTTCTTTCATGTGGGCATCAGACTACATTGTACTGTTTGTTTGGAAATTTTAGCCACAGCAGTGGAATAAACAAGAGCTGTCTGTACATCATAAACGCCCGTATTATAAATGGAATTTCCTGGGACTGGTCTCGTTGCACTGCCTAGTCTGCTGCACTTTTCATGATGGTTTTTAATTACATACTCTAGGTCTTAAAGAGAAGTTTTAGTCTTCCGACAGATTTTATCTGCTGATTATTTTCACAAATTGTTACAGAAAAAGCCTTCAGGGCTGCAGTGTAGGTGGAGGCTCAGTTACCCAGTCATAGATTGGATGCCAAGGAGCAGCGTCTTAACCTATGCTTACAAAGGCAGGTGCTGACAGTTCCATCTTGCCAAGGGAAACATGCTCACATTCTGGAGACTAACCGAGAAGACGGTAAAGAATCAATCTTGGCGCATTAGACAGAAAACAGCTAGTCTCTCTCTCGCGCGTTGACCCTTACGCCAAACAAATTTCCGCTTCTGTCAAATGGGCTTCCTCGTAAGGAAGGTTGTCTGTCTTTGCTTGTGTGTGTGTGTGTGGGTGTGTGTGTGTGTGTATTGCATGCATCTCCAGCTGTTGAGTAATTATTGCTGCTAAGAATATTTGGTGTGTTTCTTGCTATAAGCAAATATGTCCCAACCAAAATCCAAGACATTATACTACAGCCCTCCTTTTCTAACCTTTAGGTTCATCAGTACTACAGCTGTCTACCAGAAGACAAAGTACCCTATGTCAACAGCCCTGGAGAGAAAGCCCGTATCAAACAGCTTCTGCACCAGCTGCCTCCACATGACAATGAGGTAAGTCATTCAGAAATCAGCGAAGAAATACTGGAGCTCACCTAGCAGGGGACAGGCCATCATTCTGATGGTTGAGTTGTGCATACCAGCCAACTAGCCAGCTCACTGAGTCCTTTGGCAGAGGATTTGTTAAAGGTTTATTTTGCAAAACCCTTGGCGGTTTTGGGTGGGGTGTTAAAAAAATATGGAAGAAGTCACCGTTCTCTATAGCTGCTTTTAGTTAAATGAAAAGGCCTCAAATCCTCACATTTCAGGCAAAAAAAAATGCATGTTTATCTAGTGCCTCTTTGAATTGTTGTATAAATAGTTCATGCTTTAACTTTCTATGTTTTGAATTTCGATTCCAGTCCAGTTCATAAATAAATTATATTAATTTCAATAAAATTTTGAAGATCTAAAGGTACACGAAGTAGTGTATGTTCTTAGGAAAGCTTTTTAAAAGTAAGAATAGTTTACAACTTCTGAAATAAGTTGAAGAAAAATCTACAATTTGGGAATGAGTAGAGATATTGAGTTGATGTTGATGGTAATGGGATACATCTGTATTATAGGAAATGTTTTACCAGCATATAGCATATTTCTTCAGGTTTTCTAAAAATTATATGGGGTCAATTAGCCTTACAGTTGCTAAACTTTCACTTTTCTTGCTTTTGTAATAAATTGGGCAATTGAAAAAAAAAACACTTATACCAACAGTCATATTATTCCTTCTAGTCATATATGGCTTCACCCTCAGGGCACATTAAAACAGGCAGCTTGTGCTATTTCTACAACACACAACTCTAAGTGCCAGTGCAAAGAAAGGCCCAAAAGACATCACAATAAGTGGGTGAGAAAATGCAGAGCAATTTTAATGGAAACAAGAAAACTTATTTAGGAAGTTGATGGTGCCTCCAGCAGAGGGAATTTAATTAAAAATAAAAAGGATAAAATTATTTGGGGTCAAAGCTAAATGAGGGAATGCTGGAAGGAATATTTTATTTTTGTATGGGAATGATGAATAGGGGAAATTAAATGAAAATGATGGGTGGGGAGCCATAAATGCTGTTAGTATGTTGAAATGCTGGGTGGGGTATTTCTGGAAGTTAAAGTCCATATTAAACTTGCTAAGGTTTAGAAATACGGAAATATGGTAAGGTGGTTCAGTTAGAGAAAAAGGGTTGCACATTTACAATGGTTGAGGTTGACATATCGAGCAGCTGTGAGATTTGTTTAATGTGTTTGCAGGATGCATCCCTGCCTGAAGAGTAGAAGAACACTGTCATTGTTTCCCCAATGTAAAAGAAACCCTAGCAAGAATGAACACAGAAATATGCAAGGATTTTTGCTTGTCGCTTGACAGATTGAAAATGTACCACAGATACATTGAGTGAAATGTCAGAAGTGCATTGAGGCTTTATGCCAGGCAGGGCATGTGCAGACCAGAGTTTTTCCTCTTTTGTAGGTCATAGAAAAACATGAATGTAAAATAGTAGGCTGAGAAAAAGTGTTTGCTGAAGTGAAGAGGCCTGAATTAAGGAGTATTTTGGGTAAATATAGAGTTGAAGATTGGTTGTTGGATGCAGTAAGAATATAGGATAGAAATAAAGCATATGTAAAAATAAAGGAAATGCTCAGTGGTTTGGCATGTCTTCCTTAGTATTTTTTGGAAAGCTTTGCAGGTTAATGCTGTGTTTTTGGTTAAGATCTCACAGGATTGCCAGAGATAACCTGAAGGGCATGTATGCATGCACATATGTATCTAATGGCATATTTCTATAGGTAGCAATATGGGATTTTTTTTCTCAACAGCAGACTTTTTTTTTTCTAAAGTCTTTTTATTTTCTGAACTGGTCCTCTTCTTAATCCTCGGGCCTGTCAGTAGATGAATTCTGTGTGCTTTTAAAGATCTGCATGTTAATGTTTCATGCAGATGTAGAAGATGAACTTGAAAGGATCCAAAAGATGGTAGAAACTTGACTGAGATGTTTTTGGAACTCGTCTGGTCAATAAAAGTGTATAAAATAGCTCAGTCATGAGAGACTGAAAGCCACATGAGTCCTCTCTTCTTCAGAAAGAAAGGATTAATTGGAAGAGAAACTGGAAAGAAACCTCCTTGAATCTACCTTGAAACTAATGTAGGTCTTCCTTTTTCTAAATCTGTAGTCCCACTGCATCTTGTAGGAGACTGTTGCATAGTCAATTCAACTTTTCCCATGAACTGATAGCCATCTCAGGCAGCTTGCAACGTGAAGCAACCATTCAATCAGACACTCGGGAATTCAGAATCATCTCTTTCAGGAATGGTTTCCATCTGAACCAAACGTTGTTCCTCTTTCTGTTGGCTTGATCACTGAACATGATGACGTCAATATTTCCACCTAAGGCCCAGGGGTGTTAAACTCGCATCGTCACAGTGATGTCATGTGACATATCGGGACTTTTTTTTCCTCCTTTGCTAAACTGAGCGGGGGCAGGGCCACTATGTAACACATCCAGCCCATGGGCCTTGAGTTTGACACCACTGACCTAACGAAAGTAATGGAAAGGAGGTGTAGGGGGAGTAAACACAGAGATGTGACCAAAGCATTAAGCCCACTACCAAAGTACCGATGTTCACCCCACACCATTGCTGTTTATCTCACTTTCCTCCAAGAAACATAAATGAGCGCTCTCCCCTCCTCTTATCTTTATGATAACATAGTGATTTAATTTAAGCGAAGAGATAGTGAATAACCTAAGATTAATAGGTGAGCTTCATGGAAAGAATGAGTGTTAAGCTTAGTTTTTTCCGCACTAAGATGGGGCTCTCATCATTACTCAAAGGGTTAGAGATCTGTAATAGGCAGTTGTTACCTTGGCCACAGCATTTAGGAGCTTAACTTAACCTCGTGTCCTATTAAGAATATCATATGTTGCTGGGGTTTTGAGACTTCCTACAGAAATTGAAGCTCAAAAGCATCTCTGTGAAATAAGGTCATAATCATTAACATCTATTTTTTGGGGGGAAAAGCCTTATCATTATTTAAAGATAAATAGACACTGTGGATATGGCAGAGAAAGATCTTGAAATCAAATCACACAGAAGAGGGAGGTTAAGAATAGTTTTAAAGAACACAGCTCTTCCCCAGTTCTGAAACAGGGTAGTATGATTTTTTTATATTAAAACTGTGACCTAAATATCCCATTTAACTGAAGTCCTAGAACTAATGATGCATTTTCAAAACCAAGATGTCAAAAAATGGTTCTCACCACTTAGACATTTAATTGCACCTTCTTTCAAAATGTCAATCCACTCTCAGCATTCGGTGAACTTCTTAAATATTCCAGTTAGGAAAATAAAGACATAATTTATTTTAAAATGATTGAGAATAACATTTTCTGGACACTCAAAACCACCTAAAAAGCATTGTTCCTACATACAAAGAAGTATGCAGCCTGACCAGGACTGTCACTTTTGACAGTATAAAATTATAGCCTGGAAATTATAAAATTATGATTTGGAAGGACTTTCTAAAGATTTCTAGATACCCTCTGAAAACCTTGGGTGCATCCATTAGAAATCTTTAGAAAGTCCTTCCAAACTATAATTTTATAATTTCCAAGTTATAATTTTATACTGTCAAAAGTGACCGTCCTGTTTTGGTGCAGCAGTTAATAACAATTGAGTTAGAAATTAAAGGTTCTAGTCCCACCTTAGGCACAAAACAAACTGCATGACCTTGGGTCAGTCCTGTCTCAGGCCTTTGAAGAAAGTAATGGCAAATCTGAGACTCTTGCCAGGAATCCTTCAAGCAGTTCTCCAGGCAGTTGTCAGGAGACAAGACTGATCAGAAGGCATAAAAAAAGGAAAACTATGAAACATGTTACCAGATATAAACCATCATCATCAATTATTTTAGCCATTGCCTATCCAATGCAGGATGAAGGTCTCTTCTGCATGTTTCCAACCTATACTAAGTTGGTGCTGACACTTATTGATCAGAAGATAGACCTTTGGGATGTTATGTCCCCAACCTGGTCCTTCAGATCACTAAATGGTATAATCATTACTGTTGCAATTGAGTCTACCTGCCTTGCTCTTAGTCATCCTTTCCTCTTTCCTTCCAGCTATCCCAGTTTCTGAAAAGTTCTGAGTCTTTGTCTAATGTCTCTAATGAGTCCGATTTATTTGTGTCTGAAATGAAACTCTGGCTAGATTTGGTCTCTGGTCCATTTATTTGCTTTCTTGGCTACCTGTGGTATTCTCAATGTCTTGTCTGACCCTAACACACTTTCTCTACTGTGCTGCTTCAAATACAAGTTTTGTTTCCATGGAATATCACAGAGAAAACCATTCAGCACATAGCTAAATATTTTTTACAAGCCTTTGTTAGTACTCTACCAAGTGCTTGCCTGGAGCATATTTCTTCCCTATTGGTTTCTTTACAGATGATAGTCAGTCCTAAAACGCAAACACTATCATCCACTTAAGTTTCTTCATTGTCTTGAAATAAGGAGAGAATTCCTTACTGTGAGAGGTTGAACAGCCGGCCTCTTGAAGTTTGAATGTCCCATCACTGGAGGTTTTCAAAGATTGGACATCCATTGTCTGGGGTGGTCTGAAGATTTCTAGCGGGGATAGGAGGTTTGACTACAAGAGCTCCAAGACCCCTTTTATCCCTATGGTTCTATGAAACGTAATTGCTCTACTGTGCTACTTGATTTTAATTAGTAGAGCTTGCAGACAGGTATCAGCATAGTGCTGTTTATTTATGATTTTATGCTATTTAATTGTCCCACTGTGCTGCTTGATTTTAATTACTAGAGCTTGCAGACAGAGTAGTAGCATCAGCATAGTTCAGGTTATTTATGTTTTTTCCCCTACAGTTTTAAAATTACACTCATCTTCTAACAATCTAGCCTCTTTCAAAATATATTCATTACATAGATTGAATGAATAAGGAGAGAGTAGCCAGTTTTGTCTCACTAAGTCAAACTGTTTTCTCAAGTTTCATCAACTATGGTTTCTATCCTGTCTA